CGTAGTGCCTAAGGCACTTGACTGCTAACCAGAAGGCTGGTGGTTCAAACCCACCAGCCACTCCTCGGAAGGAAGGTTGGGCAATCTACTTCCATGGTGATACTGCCTTGGAAACCCAAGGAGGGGTTGCTATGAGCTGGATCTGACTCGACGGCAGTGAGATTGTTTTGGTTTGGTTTTCGATTATGTTAATGCTTACAAATAGATAGTGTTCACCTACGTGCCGAGTCTGGATTTCTCTAGTGTCTTTGAACCCTTAGCAGCACGTAGGAAAATAACTTAGACCCAAATAATCCAGTTCTAAAAGAAAGAAAATCCCAAGGTGATTGTCAGCACTCTGGCACAGAAAAACAAAATGAAGCCTTTCCCCCTAGGAAGTAAATAAGCTACATGCCATCACAGTTCCTTGTATAAGAATGTTCAGAAAGCTCACTTGTAGGCGAAAACAGTTGGGACAGAACAGGGAACAGAACTGCCCCCAAAGAGGAAATGGCAGTTTTACCTTGGGCCTTGGCAGCCAGGCTCCCACCTCCCACTTAATTCTTTGGAAAGAATATGGGGGTACAAATTAACGTAGCTTCACCTTACAATTTACTTCACGTAGCCCCTGGTTGAAGTAGGCCTACTGCATACCACAGGTACAAAGAAGGAATTGTTATCTTTACCCTTGTAACTGGATAAAAGAGACCCCAGATTGAAACAGGTTCAACAGAGACACTTTTATTAAGCCTTAGACAGGACAAAGACAAAATAAAGACAATCATCCAGGATGAGGGAAAGCATATGCATGTACACACAGTACAGAAAGCTTAACGGGCAGCTGAGTCACGGCCATGGAGCTAATTATACATGATTGAAAACAAAGGGAATCGTCACAAAATCATGATTGGTGGCATATCGGTTCATCACTGTCACAGGCGGGACTACAGAATGGGGGAAAAGACCTGATTGGGATAAGATATAACTGAAGACAGAGAAGTGTCATAGAATTGGTTCTGGGTCTTGACTATTTGGGTAGGGGGTGGTCCAGATATGATTCAAGACCATGAGACCTGAGTCATAGCCACAAAGTGGCTACAAAATACCAGGACCCCAACGTTAATTTAAATTAGAAAAGGACACACTCAGGCAAATGGAGTTAGGGCTCCCACTGTAGACCACGGCCTTCCACAAACCCAAGTGCTTTAGAATTTAAACTCTAATGCACCCTAGAGAAGAAGCCCATGTCGTATTTAAGTAAAGCCTGAGAAATATCATGGCTTTACCCAACCCCATTAGTTGTTTTGGTGTTAAGTTTCTGGCACTCAATTGAACTTTGCATAATTATCACGAGGCAGGGATGAACTAGGGGCCAGATTTCATCTGGGAAAGACTAAAGCAGGGGAGGGAAGTGTTTTTTCATGGACTGATTAAGACGGGTTTGTAACTACTTGAGTTCTCAACACATCAGGCTACTAGTCCCGAGTTCAGATTATGAAGTCAGTTTCTGTTCATTATTTCTGTATTAGAGTTTAAATTCTAAAGCACTTGGGTTTGTGGAAGGCCGTGGTCTACAGTGGGAGCCCTAACTCCATTTGGAGCCTTGACATAACTTCAGACGCCAGCTGAGTGCTTTCTGACCTTCAATAATGTTGCTGTGCATCGACAAGTTCCAGGACAAACCTAGGGAGCAGCAGTGTGCGCTCAGGAAGAACGTGGTTGGAAGTAGACTATACTCACACAAAGAACTAAGGAACTTGCCTAAGTATTGTTTTGTAGCCACCTTGTTGCTGTGACTCAGGCTGCATGATCTTAAATCATAGCCGGACCATCACCTAGCCAGTCCAGACCCAGAATCAATCCTCCAACCCTTTTCTGTCTTCAATTATGTTCGTATCCCAATCAGGTCCTTTCCCCCATATTCTGTAGTCCTGCCTGCGAAAGTGATGAATCGATGTGCCACCAATCATGATTTTGTGATGATTCCCTTTTTTTTCAATCATGTATAATTAGCCCCATGGCTGTGATTCAGCAAACTCCATTCAGCTTTCTGTACATGCAGATGCTTTCCCTCATCCTGGATGATTGTCTTTGTCCTGTCTAAGGCTCAATAAAAGTGTCTCTATTGAACCTGTTTGAATCTGGGGTCTCTTTTCTCCTATTACATTTC